ATTATTCTAGTGTAAATAGTGCCCGAATTCGGTGTAATCGAACCATTAGGTTAAAAATAATAATGAAAATTGCATCAAAATCATTGCGTGGTTTTGAAAGAGTAAGCTGTCAAACAATAGACAGTCGAAGAAATAATAATCCCACCAAAAACATTTTTATGTAATATGTTGCCAAGCCAAAACCAAATGACTCGCACTGTCAAAAAATTATCAAATCTCATGTAAAGCTATCACTACGCACCTAAACTTTTTAATTCCTAACTTCAAAAAACACTACACACATTAGCCAAAATATGTGGCTAACGAAACGGCTACGTTACTACAAGAACTATTGTATAACAGAAAAGTAATGAGGGGAGGTCGATGGCGCAGGTGGTTAGCGCGTTCGGCTGCGATGGTTGAAGTTAAGCAACTCTCGCAGTGGTCGGTCATTGGATGGGTGACCAAAAACACATATCTCGAGTTCCTCCGTGCTTCGGAAGGCACGTTAAGCCGTTGGTCCCGGCTGCATCTGCAGTCGTTAGCACCGGCCAATCCGCACTGGGCCCGCGTGGTGGGTCATGGCCCAATCTCCCTATTCCGTCCATAGGGAAGGCCTGTGCCCCAGCAGTGGGGACATTAATAGGCTGATGATGATGATGATAAATGAACAGTGGATAAATTTTACCTTATGCACCCATGTAGCGAAATGGCGAAGCCAACAACATTGCTTGGTTTTTGAGCGCATTAGGGAGAAATTCGCATCTCATTTTTTATATCTGATACTTGCCTTGGTCGAGTGGAATTTACTTCGAGTAAAATTTTCTTCAGAGTAAACCGGTAATTTATGAGAAATTTTGTCTGCTCCTTGACTTTCTATAATTTGGAATAGCTTGCAGCTGGTGTACCTATTCTGTTTTTTTTGTAACTGCCAATTGTTCATAGCCATAATTATAATAGGTACTAACGCAAAACAGATAGGTGGTTTTACAAACACGGTGAGTGAGAAGAGAATGAATCACTCGTCTTTTGTTTGAGATTTCTTTAGAATTGACAATGACGCCAATGAAGCGAATGGTACAATGGTATTTATAAATATTAAAAACTTAATTTGATATCAATCGGGATTGATTGTATTATCTAACTGCTGCTTGTGAAAAATATTAAAATAATTCATTTAATATATTTTCTTTTCAGATAATATGCTTTATATATAAGCAAGCGGAGATCGATTTCGCAGGTGGTTAGCGCGTTAGGCCGGCGATCGTAGAAGTAAAGCAACTTTAGCAAAGGTCGGTCATTGGATGGGTGACCAAAAAATCATTATCCCGAGCTCGTCCGTGGACGTTGGCTGTAGCTCTTGGCTGAATCTGCAGTTGTTAGCACCCACCAATCCGCTCTGGGCCCGCGTGGTCGGCCACGGCCCAATCTCCCTATTCCATCCATAGAGAAGGCCTGTGTCGCAGCAATGGGAACATTAATAAGCTGATGATGATGATGATAGAAGCTATACAAAGATTTCTTTTAGATTTTATATAAATTTGAAACACAGAATACAACTTATAAAGTAGAAGTAGTGTGAAACAATAAAATTATAAACTTAATTGATTTTTTACTGTAAATAATAAAAGTATGAAATGCGATTTAAACCCGAAAAATATACTGTAAAGTTAAACTCAATTGCCTACAACAAAAAATAACTTCTGGTTTAGATTTATTTCTTAATTTCAAGATAACAGGTAAAGACACAGTTTATTCATAATCTATACTTATAATAAATCTGTAGAGAGGTCAATTCTGTACATGAAATATATTTTCAAAATAACTATCAGGGGGTGATTAGTGATCGATACTGATGCCAAAAATGCAATCAGTAAATTTTTTGTCTGTCTGTCTGTGTGTATGTTCCTTATAGAAACAAAAACTACTCGACGGATTTTAACGAAACTTGGTACAATTATTCTTCATACTCCTGGGCAGGTTATATTATACTTTTCATCACGCTACAATCAATAGGAGCAGAGTAGTGAAGGGAAATGTTGGGAAAACGGGAGAAGTTACTCCATTTTTTAAGCTTTCGTCGCGTGCGCAGCCTTAATGGTTAAAGTTACATAGAAATCATGTATTACGGAAATATTCTACATAAAATTGTCTAAAAAATATCCTGCAACAGCATATGTCTATCTTTTATGGTTTACTCACAATAATACGTGTAACTCCTGATAGCTTAGCAGTTCGGAGCATTCTGATTATATTTGTTTACTCTTACGTTTATAATACTCTCACTCATCCCTAATTTAAAAAAGTTAACATTATTACCTATTCAATAAAAAAAGAATCATAAAAAAAGAATTAAATAAATAAATTCAATGTGTACAATACACGCCTGAAAACAAAATCTATAGTCTACACTACAGCTCTACACCGAAGCGAAACGAGGGCGGGCCACTAGTAAATAATAAAATTCTGAAATGTAAAAATTCTCAACAATTATTCTTATGAATATATATGCATATTAGAAATACTTCCACCGATATTCGAACATAGAACCTCTTGGAGCTAAAGGGTGTCATTACACCAATGTCAAAGGGACTGTTATTTCCCAGATGTGAAATAAATGTTATTTATGTTCTTAATGTCATAAGGAAATCAAGTTGCCAGATATGCCTTCCCAACAAAACGGCTTCTAAGCAATTGAATAGTCTATTATTCCTCACAAACAGACTCATACACGCGCTTAAATAAAAGGACACAATTTGACACTGACAGCAAGCGATATTAGTAGTTCAAGTGTCTCCACATTCAAATGCGAAAAGGATGGCTACATTCATATACTGGATGTCTCCTTAAAGGCAGAAGAAAAACAACCAAAAAGTCAACAAATCTACTTTTTCCCTTGTGTTATGTTTAAACGAAGTTAAGTAACACATTTTTTCGTGATTATTCCTACATATTTAATCACTAGCGGCCACTTGCGACTTCGTCCGCGATAACTTTAGTTTTTTGTGAGAATTCCACGGGAACCTTACATTTTTGGGACAAAAATTATCCTTTTTGTAGGAAACTAACATTCAAAAAGATCACACAATAAAATTGAATAAATATTACAATCTAACCAACGAACTAACTAAAAATGGCTATCTAGTTAATTTATATGCGGTAGAAGTAGGAGCGAAAGGTAGAATAGCAAAATCTCTCTATAACCTTCTAAAAGACTTCGTCCTGCGAAAACTGCAGTAAGTTCAATGAAATGAAAAGTCATTTATTCAGTCTAGGCTGTTACAAGCACTTGTCAAGGTCAAGTTCGCAAAACTACGGCGGGAGACCTTGTACTGAGAAGAACCGGCAAGAAACTCAGCAAGGGCTGCTTTTTTCTCCCTGTATTGACATAATACAGAGTCGTTAAATTGAAATATGACTTCAGAGATACTTCTGACGTCACCTTCCATTACATAATTTAAGATATATAGTTACAATAAATTTTATATTTAGTATATAAGAAGCGGTATTAGATAGGTACCTTATTATTGTAACAAAAACTGACGGGGTATTACCCATCAAATAACAAATTACAAGAAACACTATGTCCATGCATTACGATCATTTAGATAATCATTAACTTTATAATAGAACAATTATAACAATTTTGGAACGAGTAACTATGGCGGCATATAGGCTTGTCTTTTGACTAATCTTTGGCTAGGAAGGGCGGGCAACTCGAGCAGTGAAGTCACCTTCACTTGATGCTCATGCGTTGATGCTCATCTCAAAGGGGGCCTCCTTATACCTACACCTGGGTCACAAGTTCCGGGAAATGTTATCCAAATTTGTTCAGCCGTATTCCGATTAAATCCAGCCCCACAATAAAATACTTCCCAGTAAAATTTACAATCACTTGTTATCCCGTTAGGATTAGAGTTTCAAAAAACCCTGATGCATTTTACAGGTATCGAGTAGGTATAAATACTGAGTTTAGAGTTAATCAAAATGCGCTTTAAAATTCATTCATTTAATGATAAGGCAAACCAAAAATGGCAAACTTTATAATTAATTTAGATAAGTATTCGTACCAAGTTTTAAATCTATTAACTCAAAGAATAAGATTATTCATACAAACTCTCATCCCTTTTTACCCTTTTAAGAGTAGATATTCGAAAAACACCGATACACGATATTCGATTATTTCTTGTCTTTAGTAAAAATATCAAGTTTCGAGTTAATGGAAATGCTCGTTAAAATTCATCCATAAAAACATCGACACCATCCCAATCCCCTTTTCGGTAGTAGTTTTATGAAAACTGAGAACGACGAACTTTATAATTTGTTTAGATTAGTATTTGAAGTATTCGAGCCAAGTGTCTAAAAAGAATTTTAGCATTGAACTGCTAGATTTATAAATCTAAAGAAAATAATTCGACACGGCCATTAAGGTTTCGGTAGCATAATTGGTTAGTGCATCCGCCTGCATACCGGAAGATGCGGGTTCGAATCCCGTCTGATGCCAGGACCGAATAGATTTATATCTAGTCAAATTTTCTAAAATTACAAGATTTATAAACTTACTTGACTCGAAATTATGTCTCCTTTCCATTTATTTGCATTGTTTGATCTGAAAGTTTGGTCAGTTACTCAAATTTCTGGCTACACTTTTAAACCGAACCGAATTAATGTTTTTTTACACATTTCTGACCTGTTTAGTTTGACAAGTTTCAACTTTTCAAACATTTTCGAAGAACCGGTCCATCTTAAGTAATTTAATTAATTAATTTCAAAATGTACTTAAATTACGTCAATATCGTTGTTTAACTATTGTCAAAAAAATGTATGCACTGCATCGACAGAAAACCCAACACTGGAAATAAATTAGGACTTTGATCTCATAAATGATTTTAAAACCAAATAAAGAAGCACATAATAACAAAGTCTAAAGACTGATTTATGTTATGATAAGTTTGGGTTTTTAAGCACGTAATTTTCTAACAGAAACCCATACAATAAAAACAACCGACGATCAAAGTCCGATGAACGAATTCGAATTCGAAAATTCTACAACAAACGATGATCAAAGTTCAATGATCCGATTAGTCTTTTCTTTGACCAGTAATAACTGGTGGTTGGTGAAAAGTAACAAGGGTTGTAGGAAATGGTAAATGCATATTTCTTTTAGAAGTAAGATAATGACCATACGTTATGGGTTTAAATTGCTTTGGATTAACAAAAAAGGAATCATTCATTAAAAATTGCTTAAAAGAAAGAAAACAGCTTATGGTGCAGCATATATGAGTGGCTGTGAGTTTGTCACAATCCTGCTCTTTGCAGGAAAATGGAGCGTAAAATAGATGTACATTCCGTGTATACAAAAGAGATCCATATATTAATAGTTGATCGCTTAATCAACTCAAGCTCACATTTCCAGCGAGTACTCGCTCCCCTAGTTTGTCGCTAAGCAACAAAAGCTATCAAAGATAATACTCGTTTAGTGATGCTTGCCTGGCTGTCAAAATACGCGCGCGTGCATTTTTGCCCAGGCATGTCTGCGTGAGCGACTGGCGCCCGTTGTATTCGAACACTCGCTTATAGCCCAGCGATAAAACTCTCGGAACTACACCCTAGCTTTACTTCCCGCTCCTGCTCGCCAACTCGTTTCTAGTTTCTAGTTCTACTCGCTTCTCGTTCTTCATCGACGGTGGGACAAATCTCTCAGCCGCTAACGACTGCTGCAGTACTGCTGCAACTGGGTCTAGCGGCCTAACGTGCCTTCCAAAGTACGTATAAACTCGTGATTATAAATTTCACCCACCCGATGACCAACTATTGCCTGATGACCTCCGGGTCGAGTGGTTTGTACGCCAGGTTTCATGGTGTCTCTGACACGAGAGGTCCCGGGTTCGTATCCTGGTGGGGGCAGATGTTTGTGTGATGAATACGTGCATTTGTACTCCAGTCATGGATGTTTAATTTGTATTTATATAAATATACTTATATATGTACAGTATATGTATTCTATCCGTTACCCTAGCATCCCATAACACAAGCCTTATAGTGCTTACTTTGGGGCTAGGCTAATTGGTGTGAGTGTCGGAAATATTTATTATTATTATTATTATTATTTATTAATTTATTATTGCGAAAGTTGATTAATTTCTACGATCGCAGACTGACGCACTAAATGCAGCGGAAATACTTAATCTGTATTTTTCTAAGGCTAATTCGAAGCCATAAATGATACCATAAACAAAATAGTTAAATACAATTCGAACGAGTACTTTTTTATTTTATGCATAAGTACATAATGACGATTTCAAATTCAGCGAATAACACTTGGCGTTATATATATTTTTTTATGATAGATAAGAAGGAGCGAGGAAAACGATGATGCCTGCTTCGTATATAAGGATGACTCCACAAGACTAACGCATACTTGCCGAGTCCGCGGTGGCCTAATCAGACGTATTGCTTTCCGATCCTTCAGAACAGGTAAGTTCGTTATAAATACAGTACAAAAGTTTGTTAATCTGATCTTTGATATTATTTAAAATAAAATGTATTTCAAACGCATGCACTTTCTGAGTCTGTTTTTCAAAAAAAAAATATAGAAATGTAACTTTAGTTTTCCATTAAAAAAATCCTAGAATCACTCCAATATTGATGAACAATAGACCTTACTATATACTTCAGGCCAACAAGTTAGTGGGTAATGTTAACTAACAAAATGACATAGCAACAAAAACAAATTCATGAATATGACTCCAAAAATTATGGACTACAAAACATCAGGTGACGAAAATATTAAATGAAATGCAAAACAAAACAGGTTTTAACTTTAGAAGAACTCTTATACATATTATATAAAATTCTCGTGTCATAATGTTAGTAACCGTACTTCTCCAAAACGGCATGGGCGTTTTTTATGAAATGTTATATGAACATTCAGTAGGTCTGAGAATCCCGTACTATTTATTTTTCATACCCCTTAGTGATAAGGGTTGTGACCCCTAATATTGTTTTTTTTTATTTATTTTTTATAATGTGTCATTAAAAAATACATAAAAACCCTCCTACAATTTTGACTCTACTACCATCAATGCCTTTTTTTTTATATGGCGTAGCTTCTTGACCTTCACAAGTGCTTGTAACAGCCTAGACTGAATAAATGACTTTCCATTTCAATTCATTTCATATATCTGTACAAAGCTCGGTGGGTCGGCTAGTAATAGAAATTTATTCGAGTTAAACGTGCAGAGATTATTATTAAATATATAAAATTGTCGTGTCACGGTGTGCGTAATTGAAGTACTCCTAAACGGCTCGACTGATTTTCGTGAAATTTTATATGGATATTCAGTAGGTCTGAATATCGGACAACATCTATTTTTCATCCCCCTAAATGTTAAGGGTGGTCCATCCTTAATTTTTTTTAGTTTTTATTTTTTTATGATACATCATATAAAAATACATACAAACCTAAATTTTCACCCTTCTAACACCTACACCTATTTATTTATGGCGGTACGGAGTCCGCTGGGACAGCTAGTTATCTATAACATTGCAATAAAATGCTGGAAATTTCACAGCATCTTAACTGGAAACTTTTGTAACAAGTAGGTACCAAATAACTACCAGTGCAACATACAAAAAGATAATTCTTGCAATTGTGAAATGATAGCCAACTGGTGGGTGCCCACGGCTCGTGGAAGAATTGGTTTCCCATACAAAACTTTCTTACTCCCATGAAGGATGATTTGGGGAGTAAAATCTATCCTATTTCCTTCCCCGGGGGGGCACCTATTCTGAAAGATGAAATTTGGTAGACAGTTTATCTATATATATACCTACCATCAACAAATCGGTTTATCGATTCAAACGCGAAGAGGTAACAGTCAGACAGATAGACACACTCTCGTATTTTTAATAATATTTATGAAAGTAAGGATAGCAACTAATCTCTTTGGTATTAAAGCGAGAGCAAAGCAATCTCTGTTTGCTTCACAGTTCCCGCGCTTTTTTAGTAAAAGGTTTTCAACTGAAATCGTAGTATGTCTAAAGCAAATTAGGAAAACGCTGTTGTAGTTGTTGCTAATAACAAAGAAGACCAACTGCTGCTAAATCTGTGGGCAGTTTTTCGATTTTTTCGAATGCATTGTTATTGATTCCATCATAAAATTTTAAATCGACATATAATAATTGTGCAAAGGTATATCATAACCATTTTCTTCATTTATCTTGTACGGTATCGTAGTAATTTAATAAAAAACTAGTTATTTTAATGATTATGGTATATGGTTCTATTAAATTTCTTTCGTTATATACTAAATTAAAAGAACTCAGTGTTCAATTTAAAATCACAAATAAATTAGTTTGTGTACCTATGTTAGAAAATAATTCAAAACGACTACTCAGACAAGCACATAAATTAATGCCGTTTTCTTGTGTGCGAAAGCTTTAAGTTTGAGTTTTACAAATTATTGTTAATACTTACATAATTGATAAGTCATACAAATATTCATCAATGACTTTTTCATTCTTACAAAATACTAAGTCAATATTTAATATCATTGATATTTTTCCTATGATATTATGTCCATAAAAAATCTGCAAAATTTTGAAACTGTAACTTTCTCGTTTTGGAACTTTCTCAAGTAACATTTATGAGTAGCGGCCGCCCGCGACTTCGTCCGCGTTAACTTTTGGTTTTTTTGAGAATCCCACAGAACCCTAACATTTTTACGGGATAAAAAGAGTAAATCCGTGTCATAAACTAAATGCGTGTCTATCCAAATCCGGTCAGTAGTTTTTGCGTGATTGAATAACAAACACAGAAACTATCACATCTATAATATTAGTATGATTATAATGTACTGAGGAAAATAACATTCAAGTTCTTCAATGTATTTTTTTCTTAGATCATTGCATTAATTAATTTTACTTTAAAGTACGTAGGTACGCAGGTGCGTATGTTATAATAACCTTCCAATAACAATTGATCATTATATATTTTTTTGCATTCGATCATCAATCGATTGATGTTATACAAACAGAAGCCATTGTTCAAGATTAACATTATTTTATTTTAATAAATAGAAATAATTGGTTCATTTATAAAAACATTATGTAGCTATTATACATACAAGTTCTGTTTTAAATAATAATATGATATTATAGTTCGTTTTGCAACTAATGACATGTCGATTATCCTACAAAAGTTAGGGCGGAACGAGAATAATAATATTTTATACTAGTGGATGCCCACGATTGGTTTTGCAAGTGTCTATCTACACTATAGGCTTTGGTAGCCGCTTCCGCAGCAAATTTTGGCTTAGCTTCTTTTCGAAAGATGTGTAAATGGAAAAATCCTATGAAAAGGATAAAACGGAAATGCGTCACGAGCGTCGCACCCATCAATATATATATATATATATGTTACAGTTAAAACTAGTTTTTAATAAATGCCTTTGTTAAAACTAGAGTTGACTAATGCTCAAAATGGAATATCAGTTAAATCTAGTTATACTGGACAACACGCGTTTTTCCGAAGCATGCCAGTTTAAACTGTTCTCAATAACCACACCACCTGAATAACTTACAACAGGTGCTCAAAATATTAATAGATCAGATTATGGACCCTGTCGAGCACAGCAAATAAGAATTATTATAATAATGCCAATTTCTAACAAAATCAATATGCAAAATTTATAAAAAAAAACAATTTGGGATCACGCTTTATGAATTTATACAATAACTTTATTATTGGATGTTTTATTTTTTCATTTACATAATTCATTTAATTTAATCATTTAACACACATTTAAATAAATAAAAAAATTATAAATTTCAAAAATTAAGTACATATGTCATTGTTATATTCACTATACTTCATAATATACTTAGACAAAGTTTTAACTTTTTACATACATATATATGCGTCCATATATATATACATATACACATATATATAGGTGATGGTACCATATGCACCGCCTAATGTTAGGTTATTTAAGAAAAGAAGTTTCACTTCAGATGTGTGGTCCGTGTACACAATTTTTTTTCTTTGACTACTACTTCAATTTCACCTGATAACATGTGATGATGATTTTCGGGGGAAAAAAAAACGAGAGGCATCTCGTAACCCGATTAGGATAGGTCTCTACACCACTGTGGAGGGATTATAAAACTATTGTTGTTGATAATTATAAACCTCTTAACTTGCAGAACTATATCCAAGATGAGGTGCTTAGTGATCCTGTCCGCGGTGTTAGCAGTGGCCCTCGCTGAGACCTACTCCACCACCCACGACCAAGTGGACGTCGAGGCTCTCGTCACCAACCCAGACTCACTCAAAGCCATCACTAATTGCTTCGTCGACAAAGGGGACTGCACTGAAACCACGGCCGCGTTCAAAAGTAAGTATTCAATCCATTTTATTTTTAGACATTGCTATACACCCCGGTAAAGTTCTTGAGCAATGACCATAGACAAGGAAGCCTGCCCAGTAGCAATATTACATACAAAAACGTCAGCTGCGCAACTTTATTTGTCTGTGGTTTTGCTCAAGAAGTTTGCTGCTACTTATACACGTCGCAATATAGTCCGATCACATATGCACAGCACTGGACACTAAACTTTACAACGAACCAGTGTTACCAGCCGAGGATCGAAATAGAGGTTGTTCTCGTAGCTTCGAAAAAAACGGAGCCATAGTAAGAGAGGCGGAAGAAAAAGTGGAAAAGCTGTACGATCTGGCAAAACTGCAACCTGCTTCAGGCTACGAAGGATCGAAAAAGATTGCATAATATTATCAACGGCTAAATGTTTCTGCACGGAAGAATCATGATCTTCATTTATAAGGAGTATGACATTATTTCAATTAAGAATAATGAGTCTAAATTTCAGTCATTGATTTTTCTCCTTCAAGCCAGGTAATGAGTTGAATGAGAATAAAAATATTAGAAAGAGAAAAGTTAATGAGAAATGGAATATAGAAGCGACATCAGACAAGAGTTGCTTGACCAAAAATGTCGTAGCAATTAATTTAAACTAGTTCATTAAACAAAATTCAGAGATATGAACATTTAAAATTGAGAATTTTACGTTTTTTCTGTAAATAATGTGCGGTAGAACGATCAGTACAAAAAAAAATATGGAATAGTATTTGAAAATATTCTACAATAACTTACAAAAAGAAAGATATATATATCTACTTCTTACTTGTATTGAAAAAAGTCAAAATATTTTCTAAGAGGGTAAATTAAGAGCATAAAAGTTACGATTTCCTGCAAGAAATTAAAAAGGGCTCTTAAAGCTCCTCCGTGCTTCAGAAATCAGAAATCAAAATTTTCATTTTACAATTCCCCTATTCCATCCATATGGGAGGCCTGTAATATGCTGATGCTGTAGTTGCTACATCTATAAATTAACTCACTGTCTTGAGTTGGGATGGTAGATAAACGAAAAGGCCTCAAAGGCCTACACGGAAAGGGCTTGCTTATAGATCGTCTGGAAAGGAGTCTTTATAACAGCTAGATGCTTACAATATCGTACCTACGTAGCTCGGGCAACCTTATGGCTTAATAAAACTTGTTCGTTGGCCCATTTTCGTTTGCACTAAAGACATTACTCGAATTCGGGCACCCGAAGCGATATTTACACTGGATACGGGCTAAAAGACGGTCTCGGATAACCAAAACGAAAACTACCCGAATACGGGCGTACTCGACTCCGTTAATTTACACTATGTCGTATACCCGAATTCCATTGGCACACGTAATTTGGGCTAACGATCAAGTGTAATCGCACCATTAGTTAAAGAAGCAATCGTATAGTTTTATTAATGGTCTGAAACGTGTCATATTTTGTTATCTCTTATCTGAAATGTCATTTTACCGTCATTGTACCCAAGTGTAACAATAGAAGGCCTATTATTTAGTCTCCGCTGTCCGTCTCTCGGCCTTTCAATGGACTATTATCTCATGAGCCGTTGTTATTTTTTCGACAGAAAATTAAAAGACAAATCAAGTTTATTTATTACATACTAGTGGCTTGCCCTCGCTTCGATTCAGTATAGACTAATAGTTTTTGCTAATATAGCCTAGAACACTCACAAATAACGGGGCTTTCTTTTGATAAAAGAATTTGCTTAACGGTTCATTAGACCCAGAGATTACATCCTATACAACCTCACAAACTTGCAAACTCTATATATTATTAGTATAGATACACGAATCGCAATGTCCTCTGGTCACACCAAAACCTGAGAACGAATTTACCAAGTCATGATTTTTTTAAAAGTTTTGTAATACTTTGTATAATTGTTTTTAAAGAAAGGTAGGGCATAGCGGATCTCCCGATTGTTCGAACCTCCACCTTACAGAAGATCACAATAAAACAACACTACCTTTTGGTAGTTTTGTGTTTCTGCCGGTGAGTAAGGTTCCAGGGCTTCACATGGTAGACGCGGAAGAATGCCTAAACGGGGACCCCGCGGCTTCGCATTAAGCAGCGTAGAGGGTATTCGCAGGGTTTTTTAGCGGATATTATACCGTAAAGCGCCCGTAAGAATTACGGGGTTCTCAGTGGGCAGCCACTGCGGGGGTCCGTAAGGCTTGCGGGAGCCAGGTGTGAGGTCCGTGCGGCGGTGTCCCCGTTTAAAGGCGCCGTTGTCTGTAAATAGAGATTTTGCCTGCATGAACAAAAATAAGGGCTTCACAGGGTAGGGAATCGGGTCAGGGTAGGCAACAGTGCGAGTGATATTTTTGGTAGGTATAGCAAGCGTCGATAAGCAATGGTGGCTGCTTATTAGCATCAGGCGGGCCATACGCTTGATAGCTACCTTTTTTCAAAAGCTGTTATTTAATTTGCAATGTATGTATGTTTGTTCGGGTGGAATCTTGCAGCTCGAATTTGAAGCAGATGTATTCATTCGATTGAGCTGAAATTTTAAACACACAAAAGAAGGTTCTTTCGGGGAAAATATAAGGAAGTTGCGCAAAAAATAGAAAATTCAAGTAGCTTAACTTACAACTCTACCCAATAGGAGGCGCTGCAGTCGGAATTTAGATTTTGTTTTTGTTTTTATAATTGTATTGGACAGAATAACGTTTATCGAGTCTCCTGGATTATTTTTAACCTAGTAACGATTTTGATGTGCGTAAACAGGATAGTTATTATAAATTGTTATGCTAATAGATCAGTCACACACAATGACGATACACATTCAAATCACTGTTATTAACTAAATGCATTTATCGTAACGAACAATTACACACACTAATAACAAATATAACCTTGAGTTATTCCAAAAGTCAATTAATATCTCGTTTAACGAGCAGACAGACAGCCATTTAATTTGCACACACGCACACAGAACAACTACCGCAACAAAAACGCTTAGTAACCGGAGAGTCTAAAAGCTGTCTGGGCTTTACATCATACTTGTTGAAGCTAGAATTATTTAAAACTATAGGTTGAACCCGTGACTTCGCCCGCGCCAAAGTTAGTTTTTTTGTGAACTCCACAGGAACCTGATCTTTTTTTGGGATAAAAAGTATCCTATTTGTTAATCTACATAGGTAATAACCCAAATTTTATCCAAATACGTTCAGCCGTTTCAGCGTGAAAGAGTTACTTATAAACATCTACACGTATATCCATACAATCCTTCGCGTTTAATATATTCTTTTTTCGTTACAAGTACTCCTATCCTGGACAGGTTTCATTCATCACATTGGTGGTAACAAAATGTTGATACCTATCAACGTTTTCTTCCCATTTGATCCTCCAGAGACGAAGACTGATATAATAGACCTGAGTGTCGTGCTTTCGTTTCCTCAAATTAATGTTTACTTTGATCAAAGTATTTGCTAGGCCATATGTTATGCGTTTTACGTAGGCCTCTATGCAAAATCATCCCTTTGATTAGTGCAGATTCGTTCTCAGGATTGTCCTTGGTTAAATATGCAGATTAAAGAATTTACATTCTTTTATCAGGATATTTAATGTATGATAGTAATCGTTGAGCGATTTTGCGTAAACATCTGCAAAAACATAATATAGACGCCTGTCCATATGATTGAATGCGGGTGCTTACGTTGCAAACCTACATTTTCAACTGTTTAAACCTTTTATGAATATTGATTCACATATTTTTTTACAGAGGTGCTGCCCGAGGCTACTGAACAAGCTTGTGCGAAATGCACACCGGCCCAGAAACACATGCTCAAGAGGTACTTGGAAGAAGTGAAGAAAACCTTCCCTGCAGACATGGATGTCCTAAAGCAAAAATATGACCCAGAAGGCAAACACATTGAAGCACTACGCGCCGCACTTGCAAATGCCTAATTAAAGGAACGCCGAAATTTTTACTGAACGTAGGCTTGATAAATTAACCATGATTGCAACAAGACCTTTTGACACATCATGCAGTAACACATAATTCTTTTTGATACAACGGGTATAAATAAGTTCAAACATTGATTTGTAATATACATACACTACGATGCCGCGATAATTTTTATGAGTGAAAACGTTGTATTTCTAATGATTTGAAAATAAAACTTTATAGTAGTTACGTATTTATTTTGTTAGCATTTTATTTTAAAACACCTCAAGTATGCACTTTTGTGAAAATTTATAAAATTTCAAATAATAATATTATGATATAATATTATAGATGCACTGATTTATTTATTAATTGAAGTTTCGCATCCTTTTCAGGATGCATCGTCTGACTTATTTGATAGGTAATCAGTGCTACTATACCGTTGAAATTTGTTTTATTTAATGAGTGGAATGCGTGAAAACCTTAGAAACAAATAAATAATATTATTGTTTTTACAGTTATTACTAGTAAGGTAAGTAAGCCAATTAAAAGTAGTGAAAAAAACGATGGGTTGCACTCCGGGAGTGCCGGCAAAAGTGAAAACTTGAATATTAACGTTGTGCAGTTTTGATATTTTGGAATTGTTAATTTTGCACGAATTGCTTTAATTATCAGTATAAAAGTACTATCTTTTATGTGGTAGAATACAATATTTATTTATTGCGCTATCGTACACAAACATGATAATTTATATTAAATTAAAAAGTTTATCTCTCAGTAAAATCAACGTACATGAATCACATTTAAGCGCACCTAGCGGCATCTATTGTAAAAAAACAACTTACATGAATCACATTTAAGCGCACCTAGCGACATCTATTGTAAAAAAATGCATTTTCTTCGCAATAAAGCTGCCACGTGCCCCTTTAGCAAGACCGCCGAACGGGATATGATAAACTGATATATCGACATTTTGTCAGTAGTCTGACAGCTAATGCCGATATATGGCTTTATCATATCCCGTTTCGGTGGTCATGCTAGGGGGGCTGGGCGTCCTAGATAGAGACTTATTATTATGTTAAAATAAAATATTACTATGTTTCGTTCAATATATTGAAAGTCAACGACCTTTCCAATTTTATTGTTTTAGTCTTACGCCACGTGTCCTGACGCAAGTTTAACATTTTTTACCCATTACAAAAAAAGTGTACAACGCCGCTAAAGAAGTTTTCACTTCAGAAAGATCCGAACTTTACGGTATTCTCTCTATATTTATAAAAGCATGTACCTCAGCCATGGTCCACCCACTGCCGGTGATATAAGGTGCCCTTGTTTTTTCTGTCGACTTTCTACCGTCGGCATCTGCAAGAGGTAACTAACTCGTATATTTTGACCTTTATGCCTTAGCCGAAAACCTGTAAAACTTTTTAAGTACCAACATTCAGTATGAACAGTATCAAAAGATTTCGATCCCGCCTATACGCACGCACACAATAAGTTCAATAGTGATAAGATTGTAGCCGAGTCCATGTACCAGTATTACTTTAAGTATAAAGCAAGTGTTTCAGTGCTTTTCTCCTATCTCACAAGTGCCCAAAACCGAATAAAATTTCTAATAATTGAGAACCATCATACAATATCAACAAAATAAAATAAATTATATATAAATAAAATACTCCAACAATACTTAATACATTTCAATTGTTTATGGTTCGGAACACTTCTTATTCCGGTTTTTCATCAAATTGGTCAAAATGCATCATCAGTATGAATATAATTCTTATACCTCAACATACAGTCAGATGATCGTCAAATAATCATGATTTTGCATATTCAAACGATTCAACATTAAACCCCTAATTGCATATCGCATATTTTATAAATAAATATATATTTTATACTAATTTAAATACCGGCTTATATCTATATAGATTTAGATCTTCTGTCATAATCATTATTATGGATTTCCGTCCGAACATGCTATATAAAGCGTTTTTAAACAATACAAATTGAAAATTAATGTTGTTTGTTGTCCCCAACATGCACCGAGAGCGATTTGTGTAAGCATTTTATTTTATACTTATTTCTTTGTTTTCTTTTTGATTTCTAATTCTTGCCATTTATGTACGAAAGATCAGGGTTAAAAAATAGGGTGAAGTGGTGTAATTTAGAGCCCACATCCTCGAATGTTGCTTCCTGGGAAGCAACATTTATCTTGCGGACTCAAGAGCTTTCATCCAGTTTTCAGCGTAACATGCAAATATTTAACGGAAGGATTATAATGTATTTATTACATTCCCGTGAACAAATACTGTATTCTTGACTGAAGCCAAGCGAGGGCGGGTGTAATAATAAAAATTTTACAACGTTCACAGAACGATGGCGATTTTCGTAATGCTTGCTAGTGTAGCCCAGCAAGTGATGTGCTATGACGAGAAATATGACAAGATGGAAGTGGACAAGATAATTGCGAATGACGAATTGTTTAATAGTTACCTTAATTGCTGGCTGGACAAGGGACCCTGCGACAAGGAGAACGCCGCTGAAATGAAAAGTAAGCTCGGATAACCAAATATGCTTTGAGAGCTATAGCAGATTTTTCCCTCGGATTTGGGTGGCCGGATATTGATGTAACCTCCAACTTACAAATATCATAGTGAAATAACACTACCTATTGGTGGTGTTGTGTTTTTGTCGGCGAGTGAGGTTCTGTGGTAGGTAGGAGATATATCAGGATAGACAATGGCTTGAGAAGCTCTGGTATCCCAATCGCAAACGACTATAGGCTTTTCGGCCGCTTACCATCAGCGGGCCCCGGAAGAGAGAAAACAGTTTCTTCTTTACTCTAATATGCCTTCACATTTTCCAAGGTTTAAGAACTTTACAGAAAGTAAATATGTAGTGTTTTTTTATGTTAAACTGAAAAATCTATATTTTTTTATGTAAAAAGAGTGGTTAAAAAGCGTATGGCCAGCCTCTGGTGGACGGCCACCATAGTCTATAGAAGCTTGCGATACCAAAAATATTACTCGCACCGTTGCCTAACCTGACCCGATCCCCAACCCCGTGGAGGAACACAACACCACCAAATGGTATTTTACTATGACCTTCTGTAAGGTGAAGATTACTTCCCCAGACGGGCACTCCAATACGAGCGGGGAATCCGCTGTGCTCTACCTTTTTTATAGTGTAAGCGATGCACTATAAAATTACGTTATGCATATATATTATAATATTACGTAATGATGCATAACACTGCGAATCTTCTAGAACAAATCAAATGCGTGATATACTTAACCCCGTGGAGAAACACAACACCACTAAAAGGTAGTGTTATTTTATTGTGACCTATTGTAAGGTGGAGATTACTTCCCCAGACGGGCACTCCAATACGAGCGGGGAATCCGCTGCGCCCTACCTTTTTTATAGTTAAAGCGTTGCACTATAAAATTACGTTATGCGTATATTATATTATTACGTATGCATAACACTGCGAATCTTCTAGAACAAATCAAATGCGTGATACACTTAGGACTACACTATTTAAGTATTTCTTATAAACTTTGGTTATAAGGTGCCTACATTTTATGCCAAAATTATTTATTACAGCATTAATGCCAGAAGTCATATCTACAGCTTGCGGAAAGTGCACGCCTGTGCAAAAGAAGAACATAAAAAAGTTGATACAAGGTCTCACTACGAAACAAAGAGCGCATCAATTGAAAGAACTGATGTTGAAATACGACCCGAAACGAGAATATTTCGCAAACTTCGCAAAATTTTTGCTAGGCCCTGAATAAGTGATCAAAGGCATTTCCCGACTGGGCCGTAACTAGGGAGTTGCTCAACTTCAAAGTACCATTGCTTTAGCTTAAAACGGAGCGGCAGACTGCGAAGGGTAAAACGCCCCTGCTTTTGCCCTACTTGTACATAATTACCGCTGCCTTCTGCTTCTGCTGCTGTATCTTAAATGCAACTCTGGTTATAGCCCTACTTTCCCAATTTTCTTTTCTTTTTTATTACCTTTGTTTTTGTAATATGTAATTTTATATTTTTTATTTATATCATTATTAATGAAATTTAAAATTATATTTCAAAGGCACTGTGCTTTTTACCACTAACCAGTACAATGTAATAATATTTTTATTAGTAGGTTATTGTTACCTGCGTGTATGTAAAAAAATAAAAATACTAAAACCGTTCATGTTTTTTTAATTATTTCCTGTACATATTGGAAGCTGTTTTGAAAAATAGGGTTTTAATTAATAATAACGTAAATCCATTAAATCTCTCAATTCAACAAAGAATACAAGAGGATTGGATTCGACCTTTACAGTCTCTTGGCTAAATTCAGGATATTTATAAGTAACAGATATAGAAACAGAAGCAGACTCCCGAGAAGTAGTTTTTTTAGATATGTCTAAACACAAGTTTGTATAAGCGCGTACCATTTTTTGGAGAGTTGCTTCAAAAATTGCACGTATTTGGCAAATTTTAGATTCAAGTGTTGAACGGGTTTGTTCAAAACAATATGAGTCAAAAATATTAAAATTCGGTTCTGCTGATATTATAAAGTATCAATATACATTATTTTTGATATTGGCGGATCATACGCTTGTTTAGCACCCTTTTAACATAAAAAACACAGTATATGTACTTTTTGTAAAGTTCCTAAAAAGTGGGAAAATGTGAAGACATTTTTGAGTAAAAAAAATAATGAAGAACGAAAAATGCTAATACAATTTAGTTTTAGAAATTGTATCTTATGTGTGATTGATATGTCCAAAACAAATAACCCAAATAATTATTAATTTCACAGGTAAATATCATTTATCTCGGTAGAGTTTTATACCATATTTAGTTGAAATACCGATATTAGTCAGTTTGTTATTTAGATTTTAAGGCTATGTTTTTTATTGTGTTGTTTCACAGCCAAAAGCAGATTTCAAGATTATAATTAATAAAAATTGTAATTGTTTGGGTATGCTTATTGTAATTTAACATCAGTCTCTCCTTTTAATTTTGTATAGACGATGACAAGGATACACTGTTGTCAAAATTAATTGTAGACTTAGAGAATCATGCCGGAATCGACACACATCGTTTTGAGAAACTAAAAAACTAACTTCTATCAAGAAAATTGTTTTATTTAATCTTTTCAAAAAACTGTCCACCAGCCTCTTTACAAAAATTACATTTCATGCGTCTGAACCAATTTCTAAATCATTTTTTCCAGTCCTCCGTAGACACCTCTTCCACGGCCTTCTTAAATGCTTCTTCCGGCGATGAAAACTGTATCCCTTTAATAAAAAGAAGTCGCACGGAGCCAATTCAGGACTGTGAGGATGATGCCTCAAGACTCTGACTGGTGTGAAGCCTTGGAAGTCCTTCGTTTTGATCGCAGAGTGCGAGGGCGTGTTGCCGTGGTGAAGAAGGACCCCGCGAAATCCGATGTTAGGTAGCTTGTTGCTCATTGCAGAAAACTTCTTGCAGGCGTTTTATGCTATACCTTTCGGCGTTGATGCTGCTTAGGTCTCGAAGTAGAATTGAAATTAGGTACCCCGTCATCGTTCATCCAAAGTAAGACGACCGCGTTTGAACTCGTTACACCAGCGGTAGATGGTTGCTTTTGAAGGTCCTTCATCCATAAAAGCAGTTCAAAATCGATCAAATGACTCATCAGGTTTTAAGTCTTGTATGTTTTAATTTAATATAACGTTGATGTTATGAATTAGGTAGTTAAGAACGCAAAAGAAACGAATACAGTAAGAAAAAAACCTTTGTGGGTTCTTTTCTTCCTGATGATTTGACTAGTTTTTCCAACAAAAAATATTTTTCTTAAGTTCAAACTAATCAACTAGATTTAGTCAATGTTTTCTATATTTTTTAATATTTTATATAAATTGATTAATATTGCCCTTATTTGTATAATAATTAAAAAAACGTAATAAAATACAGATAAAATAATATGTGAAAAATATTAAGTATATTAATTTCTTGAAAGACAACAATTTCATTTTAAATTGATTCACATTCCTACACTAATAATTGTATTTAAATAAATATACAATAAATTATTTCTATTTATTATCATAAATATCTTTAAAATAATAAATTATGTCTACCTATATTAAATAACTTTAGAGCATCTCTCAGCAAATTGGAAAATATTTAAATACAAAATCGTAAGTATAAACCTAGCTACATAATAGTTACAATAATCTATATTTAGAAAAATCAATTGCTGTTCATTAGTCTCGTTAAAAATCGAGAACGGCTGAGCGGATTTATCTTATCTTGGTCTTGAAATGTTAGTGGAGGTCTAGGGAAGGTTTAAAAGGTGAGAAAAATTCGAATTCTACACCGAAGCGAAGCGAGGGCGGGCCACCAGTTTTAGATAAAGTCAAGGTTGTGATCGTTACTGGTATTTCCTATTATATTTAAATGGCATAGAATTAGGAAAAAGGTTGTGATAAATAAATTTGAAAGCTTCTCAGCCAGATTCGACGATTTGTAGACGGAGATAGAAGATATAAATTCAGATAATTTATCATGTGAGGTTGATGAAAGGGAGCTCATTGAAGATTTATTTATTCAATGCATTGCAAAGGTTGAAGCTATAATAAAGCAAAATGATGGTTCGATAAACAAGTCTATTTATGAGTGCCCAGACCTAGAATTTTGAAAAAGATTGCCACAAATTCAAATTTCATAATTTGATTTAATCTTGATCTTCCAACCCAACATTGGTACGTGCTTATAATTTTTATGCTTTCGTCAAAATCGGTTATAGAAACAAATATCAAATGGGAGAAATTTCGTAATACTCTGGGTGACATTCCCACTTTAGAACAATTTAAGAAGTTCTTGGTTGATCGTGCAGATGTACTCGAATCCTTAAATCGCAACAAATATGTAAACAACAAAAGTGTCAGCAACAACTTCAAGGTCAGGTCAAATTCAGATTTGAAATTTCAAGATCGTTCTAGTTCCTAATTACAATTCGAACAATAGCAAAATGAATGGTAACAGTGATAATAAAAACACAAATACCCGTATCCACAAAATCAAACAACAATAATTCTATATTCTCGTGCGTAATCTGTAATAATGATCACAGAAAGAGTTTAAACGAAAAATATTCACTTATTTAATATAAGTTATGTTAAAACTGTTAACGTCAAAGGCATCCTCTTAATAAATGTCGTATGACGCCTTGTTGACAATGCAATCAAAGGCGTAATACTTTGTTGCACGATTCTGACGCTGCTGTCGGTTGTTCTACCTCTGAACATATTGATGGAGGTGGTGAACCTAATTAAGTTGTACCCTTATATAAAGGCGGTGCAAATTATGCGCTCCTTTTCACGGCTTTGTTGGACGTCATCAATCCGGACAGTGGAGCAGTTGAAATGGTGCGTGCGCTGCTGGATTGTGGTAGTCATTGTGGTAGTCTTCGTTTATAACAAAATCACTTACACAAAGGTTATCACTGAATACTGCACCTCTAAATGCTGTTAATGTGAATGGAATAGGAAATAATTGCAACAATAAAATAGAAAAAAGTTGTTTGGCTAAGATTAAGTCTATTAATAGTACATAACGAATTACCTTATCCTGCTATGTACTCGAGGAATTAACAGGTTTGTTGTCCAAGACACCTGTTAATGTACAAAATATAAATATACCTAAATCCATGAAACTTGATCTCAACACATGTTTGCAAGTTGGATGTCAACTTTCAATTTGACGACACTGTATGAAATAAAACAGGGAGAAAAAAGCAGCCCTTGCTGAGTTTCTTGCCGGTTCTTCTTAGTACAAGGTCTCCCGTCATAGTTTTCGAACCGATGGCGTAGTTTTCGACTTTCACATGTACTTGTAAAAACCTAAACTGAATAAATGACTTTTAAATTTGAATTTGAATTCATGTGGCCGTCCATGTTGATGTCCTGATTAATGCGAATGTTTTTGGGACACTCTTGGCTGCAAACAAAAATCCTTGGGACCAAATAACAAAACACAATTGAGAAGTTGTAAATTCGGTTGGATTGTTGCAGGTTCAACTAACTTATTTGGACATAATAAGTTTTTCTGCAAACATGCATCTCTGAATCCAAATGAAACACCTAAAGCTTGACAAATTTTATGTGAAAAACATCTCGTTCTCCAGAGGGCAGATTTTGTGTGAAGTTGCCTCTAAAAGATACTTCCGATTGCTTTGAAGATTTTTAATTTCTAGCCAAAGGAGGCATCTAAATCTTGAGAAACAATTTAAAAGGAATTCAGAACTGAAATCACAATATACAAGTTTTATGCGGGAATATCATGATTTCTTGAAACACCCACGAAAATGCAATATCCATTATACTTTTTATTTCATCATGCTGTCTTTAAAAAGTGAGTCAACCAAAATTTGAGTAGTATTCGAAGGCTCCTGTCCCACAACTTCGGGATATTCTTTAAACGATATTTTGATGGCGGGCCCTAACGTTCAACAGTCTCTTTTTCCATATTGGTCAGAGCCCGTCAACATATTTTTTTTTTGACCAGTGTCATAGCTAAAATTTACCGTAATGTAATAAAAGTCAATAAAGATGACAAGGACTTGTAACTAGTCACGTTGAGGGAAAATTAGAATGAGCCCATTCAAAGATGGCGACTCAATACTATAACATATGGTACTGCTTTTTTTTTTTTTTTTTGTTTCCTCCCAGGCGGGGGAGCGGGTGTGAAATCCTCATGGATTCCCTACAGCCGGCTGTAGGGTTATGTCAGACTCTTACTGACTAAAACACACCCGTGGGGGATGCCTATGGCCTTAGGGGCCTTACAGGCTTCATCTGATGCGATCAACCCCTGAGAAGGGGATGATGCAGCGCTGCCTTAGTAAATACTACTGCATAGTGCGCTTAGAGGACGGATGCACTCTGATGTGCATCCGTATCGGTTTGGGACTGAGCGACTGAAGGTCTCTCAGGATCGGGGGGGCGGCATGGTACTGCAAGTGCTAGTTACTTAAGTAGATGTCTAAAACAGGTTGGAGAAGAGCGTAGTGAAAAATTCATCAAGGATATGATACAAAAGGATCTATATATTGATGATTTGATCACCAGCTGAATTAGAGTTACGTCACATATTAAATTCAGTGACGAACGCCCTAAATTTAGCATGTTTTCCATTGAGGAAATTTAAAACAAATTCGAAGGTTTTGTTAGATGATTCAGATTTGAGTCCTGCAGATAATCTAACGTAAAGTGAGTCATCACACATTTTTGGT